TCTCTCTCTATCTTATCTTTCTAGCGAATACTGTGTGTGTGTGTGTGTGTGTGTGTGTGTGTGTTATATGGGTGGTATATCTTTTACTGAATATCGATAATTAAATACAAAAATTATACATTTATAAATTAATACATTTTATTCCATATTTAAATACTTTTTATTTATTATTATTTATATACATCTATCTTTCTAATATATAATTATTCTAAAATACATATACCCTAGATATGTATGTAATTGTAACTGTAATTTATTAAAAAAAAACTAATATAGACAACTAAATAAAATATTGGATAAATGTATTAATTTATAAAAAAAATTAAAATTTTATATATAATTATTGTATTTTACAAAAATGTTAAATTAAAAAAAATAATGTAATCATGTAATCCATAAAAATGTAACTGTAGTTTGATTACAAGTATATTAAAATGCAATTTACTCTAATTACAAGTACTTAATTTTTGGAATCTGATTACATAATCCAGGTTACATGTAATCAGTTATTACCCAGCTCTGTGTGTATATATATATATATATATAGGCAAAATGAAATAATTATATTGGATATAATGATTAATATTATAATTTAAATGATTATTTAAATTAATTTAAATAAACATTTAATATACAGTGGGTACGGAAAGTATTCAGACCCCCTTACATTTTTCACATTATTATTATTATTATTGCAAAATAAAATGATATAGACTGTATGAGTAATATTATAATTTAAATAATAGTTTAAATGTACATTTTGAAAAAGTATTAAGTTACAAAAAAAATTATTTTTTTAAATTTATTATTTTATCTATCTTTGTATAATTATTCTAATGCAGATAATATATGTACTTAAATATGTATTATAATTAAACAGAAATAAATGTATTTTAAATGTTGAATAAATGTATTCATTTGTAAATATTACTATTGTAATTTATGTATATGGAAACAATTATGTAGGATACATTGATTTATATTATAATTAAAAAAAAAAAATTCTATTCTCATGTTAGTACAGAATAGTTTGGGAAAACATCTGTGAATATTTTAATTTTTTTTTTCACAGATACACCTCGCACTTAAATATGTATTATAATTAAACAGAAATTCTTATTATTTAAATGTTGAATAAATGTATTCATTTGTAAATATTACTATTGTAATTTATGTATATGGAAACAATTATGTAGGATACATTGATTTATATTATAATTAAAAAAAAAAAATTCTATTCTCATGTTAGTACAGAATAGTTTGGGAAAACATCTGTGAATATTTTAATTTTTTTTTCACAGATACACCTCGCATGGCTTTATTTACTGCGTATTTCCGCTTTAAGCATCAAAACGAATCATGTGGTGAAGTTGCTGGATGGGTGTAGCTCCAGTGAGAGCGCGACTCTGATGAAATCGGCTTGCGTTCTTTCCGCTGTCACGCTCTCTGAGACACGATGTGTGAGCGAGACTCTGTCTGCCCGAGATAATGTACCGCAGACAAGAACTAATAGGCTTATGGGATTGTGAGCGTGTTTGGCTGGTCTGTTTTAAGGGTGAAATGTAGCTTTGTAGTCAGGACAGATGAATGTATTACTAAAGCAATAATCAACAAGAGGCCATGCGTTACAGTGAGGCACGAAAGCGGCAGCAGAAGCAATACAATAGGGCTGTCAGAATTTTTTTTTTTAATTTTGAATATTCATCGCATTAAAAAAAAATTCCACATTCGAATACAAAAACGTTGCATTCGAATTTTAGGTCTGCGTCAGTCGTCAGGCAGCCTATCAGTGCCGCACAAAATGCGACGACAAAGTAAGTGTCATAGCATTTGAATGCTTTTGTTAGCCTGTCCAGTTGAAGCCACTAGATGCGGCGCTGCTACGTTGCTCATTCATATATTGCGGAAAACGAGAGCATCAGTGCATGAAGATTTTGTTTACGTCAAAACCGAAACCAAGCCGTTCACACAGAACGCATATTTATCACATTTTCTAGAGGGACATCTATCAGCGTTGCACTCGCATCTCGCACAAGAGAGCCGCATGTTTAGAAAGCCATGTTAAATTAAAGTTCAACTTTAAAAAAAACATGTCTAAAGATGTTATGGCGGTTTTCCCCATCCCACTGCATCTCATGTTTTTAAATGAAGAAAGTTGCCTACTTTTGTGATTATTTTTCGGTCCTTTGTATTAAACTATACATACATGCATGGGGCTGTTTTTTCCCCCCAATTGTTTAAGCAACTTAATTATATATGGTTTATAAACATTATTTTAAACATTATGCACTTTGTTTTTCAAAGATAGTCGTGTTATTTTATTACGCTTTGAAGAAACGTTCATTATATTTTGCTCGATGCGCCCTCTTGTGGCCTCGAGAGAAAAGCCAAAAGCTTTTTTCCCCCTAACTGAAATTACGCCTTTTAAATTTGAATATAATTCTAATTTTGAGAATATTTAAGTCGAAAATTCTAATTTAGTTTCAGTCATTTTGACAGCCCTACATTACAATAAGACATAAATATTTAATAAATAATTTAAGGACAATATATAAGTACCATATTCGGGATCACCCAATACTATGCATTGTTTTTAAATTAATCAGCATTGATTTATATTGAAAATATAATTGTGCATAGTTTTTTTTTTTACTGTATTTTTACATTTAGATTACCTGTGCCGTCATTTAATGCTACCTAATAAATCTTTTAAATATGTTTAATTTATTTGTTTGATTACAGTTGAGTACAAATTTTTTTTTTTACCTTGTTCTTGCAATGAAAATAATGATGACTTGGAATGAATGAATGAATGTAAAAAATAAATATATTTTTAAAAATGTAATGCTCACTATAAATCTGTAATTTCTCCCCCTAACTGAAATTACGCCTTTTTAAATTTTAATATAATTCTAATTTTGAGAATATTTAAGTCGAAAATTCGAATTTAGTTTCAGTCATTTTGACAGCCCTACATTACAATAAGACATAAATATTTAATAAATAATTTAAGGACAATATATAAGTACCATATTCGGGATCACCCAATACTATGCATTGTTTTTAAATTAATCAGCATTGATTTATATTGAAAATATAATTGTGCATAGTTTTTTTTTTTACTGTATTTTTACATTTAGATTACCTGTGCCGTCATTTAATGCTACCTAATAAATCTTTTAAATATGTTTAATTTATTTGTTTGATTACAGTTGAGTACAAATTTTTTTTTTTACCTTGTTCTTGCAATGAAAATAATGATGACTTGGAATGAATGAATGAATGTAAAAAATAAATATATTTTTAAAAATGTAATGCTCACTATAAATCTGTAATTTCTTAAATACTAATATATATAATCCTAAAATTAATATCTGTTTTTCTGACATTTTTTTCATTAATAAATTAATGTGTCCATTAATCACTTATTTTTACAGAATTTTAATATCAGTGCATACCTAAAATAATTAAATTAATGATACTAATCACACTAAACAATTCGTCCATTGATGTATAAAATTTGTGGGGTGTTTACAGTTGACAAACAATTCAAAATTATTTGATGTAATTATTGGTGCGTCAAAACCAGTGTTGGGAAGGTTACTTTGGAAAAGTAATAGGTTACAGATTACAAGTTACCCTATTTAAAATGTAATAGTGTAACTATTTCAAATACTTTATTAATGTAACCGATTACTTTTCTAATTTAACAAATGTTTTCAAATGTTAATCATTTTCAAACATTTAAAGCAGGCAGGGGTAACTTTTACAGTAGTACTCAACACTGGTTACTGTCGGACTTTCAAAATCCTTCACTTGAATTAAGATTATAATGATTTAATTTAAAGCACAGCCACCACAAAATCAGACTTTAGCAGCTGTGTTTACTTGGAGATCATTCTGCGGTTAAATACAGATTTATGATCATAAGAAATAGTTTAATTGCTATGATACCGTTTTGAAATCAAAATCTTTGCATAGCCATGACGGGAAACACTGGCATCTAGCAATGCTTTGGAAAAAAAACTGTTCATCTTAAAAATAAAAATAAAGCATATACATAAACCCAAACAGGAAATAAAACCGCTATTGAATAAGCATGTGTCCAAAACTCCTGAAACATTGGTGTCTCATATTTTAGAGCAGTCACTGCAATTGGGAAAGAAATCAATCGTGCGTGTGTGTGTGAGAAAATATTCAGATGTGAAAATGTTAAAGATTACAAAGGGGGTTACAAGTAACTATTTTTTTCTTAGTAATTGTAACAGATTAGTTACATTTATTTTGCAATTAAGTAATTCTGTTACATGTAACTAGTTACTCCCCAACACTGGTCAAAACAGAATACTATGAATGTGCATGTCCATGTGTTTATGTAATATAACATGACTGAAGTATGTTGTCATTTCTACAGATGAAGATCTATAACCTCTCTCAGTATGAGCACGGTGCCGATGATGTCCTGATCCTGGCTACAGATGGACTCTGGGACGTGCTGTCCAATCAGGAAGTGGCAGAGGTGGTATCTGGTTTCCTTGGAAACTGTGACCCTGATGACAAGCACAGGTAGGTTCCTCAGTCTTGGTTGAGTATCAACCATCTACTCATGCAACCTCGAAGACAACACATTACGCTGGGTTATTTTGAGCAACTTAAAGGAAAATGTCATTTTGATTTTAATATGAGATATTAAGGAGGTTTTCCAAGCAATGCCATAGAAGAACCATTTTTGGTTCCTCAAAGAACCTTTCATTTATCACTTCTTAAAAGAACCATTGGTTTCTTAGTGTGAAGAAGATTTCAGTAATCTAAAAAAAAAAGTGTCTACTATAAAGAACCTTTTGTGCAATGGAATGATTCCAAGAATGTTAAAGGTTCTTTGTGGAACCTTCAATTCCAATTATGAACCTTTAGTTTTGAAGATCTAGGCAGGCAACTGAAAGGTTGTAGGTTCAAGCCAAGAACGATTACTTTAGAACAAAAGCGCATAAAAGACACTTCAAGATAGCCGTTTTCTTCTTCATCCAAAAATTCCATTATTTTTTTTTCACCCTTATGTCATTCCAAACCTGTATGGCTTCTTTCTTCTGACGTTTTGCAAAACAGAAAGTCATAGGGGTTTGGAATGACCTGAAGGTGAATGAATTAGATCTTCAAGCTTGGGTGAACTGTTCCTTTAACATCAGGTTACTCTTGGAGGGATGAACCTGTTATTAGTAAACTTAGAACGATAAGGGTTAGTTCACCCAAAAATTTAAATCCTGTCATTAATTCCTCACCCCCATGTCGTTCCAAACCCGTAAGTCCTTCGTTTATCTTCGGAACACAAATTAATTAAAAGAACCATTGGTTTCTTAGTGTGAAGAAGATTTCAGTAATCTAAAAAAAAAAGTGTCTACTATAAAGAACCTTTTGTGCAATGGAATGATTCCAAGAATGTTAAAGGTTCTTCGTGGAACCTTCAATTCCAATTATGAACCTTTAGTTTTGAAGATCTAGGCAGGCAACTGAAAGGTTGTAGGTTCAAGCCAAGAACGATTACTGTAGAACAAAAGCGCATAAAAGACACTTCAAGATAGCCGTTTTCTTCTTCATCCAAAAATTCCATTATTTTTTATTCACCCTTATGTCATTCCAAACCTGTATGGCTTCTTTCTTCTGACGTTTTGCAAAACAGAAAGTCATAGGGGTTTGGAATGACCTGAAGGTGAATGAATTAGATCTTCAAGCTTGGGTGAACTGTTCCTTTAACATCAGGTTACTCTTGGAGGGATGAACCTGTTATTAGTAAACTTAGAACGATAAGGGTTAGTTCACCCAAAAATTTAAATTCTGTCATTAATTACTCACCCTCATGTCGTTCCAAACCCGTAAGTCCTTCGTTTATCTTCGGAACACAAATTAAGATATTTTTGATCAAATCTGAAAGCTCTCTGACCCTCCGCAGGCAATGCAACTGCAGTGTTCCCAGGTCCAGAAACGTAGCAAGGACATCGGTAAAATAGTCCGTGTGACATCAGTGGTTCAACCATAATTTTACAAAGCTATGAGAATACTTTTTGTGTGCAAAGAAAACAATAATAACATAATTTTTTTCAACGATTCTTCTCCCCGAGTTACCGTCTTCCGCCATTTTGGAGAGTACCCCAGAACGCAATCAGCGTTGTTTATGTTGAGCATGCGCACGCTCTCTACTGAACGTAAACAATGATTACGTTGATTACGTTCTGGGGTACTCTCCAAAATGGAGGAAGACGGTAACTCGAGGAGAATATAAGTTGTATAAATTGTTATTGATTTCTTTGCGCACAGTTTGCGCACAGACTTTTCATTTTTGGGTGAACTATCCCTTTAACCTCTAAATAGCATCTCTGTTGTTTTTCAGGTACACAATGGCAGCTCAAGACCTGGTGATGAAGGCCCGCGGTGTCCTGCCTCTACTGAACGTAAACGCTGATTACGTTGATTACGTTCTGGGGTACTCTCCAAAATGGAGGAAGACGGTAACTCGAGGAGAATATAAGTTGTATAAATTGTTATTGATTTCTTTGCGCACAGTTTGCGCACAGACTTTTCATTTTTGGGTGAACTATCCCTTTAACCTCTAAATAGCATCTCTGTTGTTTTTCAGGTACACAATGGCAGCTCAAGACCTGGTGATGAAGGCCCGCGGTGTCCTGAGGGACCAAGGCTGGAGAATCGCCGGAGACCGGCTCGGCTCTGGAGACGACATTTCGGTCTTTATAATTCCTCTAATGCACGGCAATAGCCAACAGCCTCAGCCTAGCTGACCAATCAGAAGGCAGGGCGCCAACCGAATCGGACCGAATCCGTCTCTAACCCAACATTCAAATGCTCCGACAGCGTCCTGCTGGAGTTTAAGGAACCCGTTGTGCATTTGATCTCATTTACAAATATGAACACTTGCTTTTAAGACTTAGCAGTCGATGACTGCTGACTTTGAAGACCCACGTCAACGTTCCCTACCTCCGCGTGGGTTGGTGGGATCAGTATATAAGATATAACTTTCCACAATGACTAAAGGAGGGTCCGGTTCTTTGAAGTTCTCCATGGACAAATGCGCACCCTCCGCAGTTTGTTTATCCGCACTCATCTGGCAGCTAGGCGAAACCAAGCGCGCTTTGTTTTTCTTTTCAGGATATTAATTCATCTTCTGACTGTTTCGTTTGTGGATTTGTTTTTTGCGTTCCCTGAAAAAAATCTAAGCAATTCTGGCTGTTATTTGTACATCCTGTTACTCCAAGTTACTGTAAATGAAAAATGAGCATTGTTTTTGTTTCTCCTGTGCTCTGTAAATTTGCAATGGGTACTAAGTTAAATAATGCCAATCTGATCTTCCATTCATCACGGTAAGATTCTTAGGATGATACATTTTTAAGGAACAATAAATCATGTGTCCGGCAAAGAAGTCTGATGTTCAGCGACCGTTCCCTTTGATTTCTGTACGCACCGTTGTGAATTAACACCTACCTGCAATCTGTTCTCCAGGGCTCCTGTGTGGAGGTTTGGTGAGGTCTGACTTACGATACATCATGTTCACAGTGGCACCTTCCTCTTCTACAGCACAAACCCGCTGTGAGCATTTGGAAAGGCTTTCGTATACACACACACACACACACACACACAATGTGCAAACACTGACATACACACTCCCCAAGAGAGTGGCCATCTGGTCAGCACAACCTGAGTGTGACCAAAACAAGACTGATTTGGCCAGAGATTCAGCTGTGTGTGTGTGTGTGTATGCGGACTGCTCTCTAACACACTTTAGCGCAGTCGTTTGTGTGGGTGGAGGCGCTGCAAGGGCATCACATGCTTACTAAAGGAGCTTTCTGGGAAGTGCACACACATGCACTACAAAAATGATTCATAAACCGCTTATGTTGCCCCATTAATTCTGGCCCACAGATTTTTTTAAATAAAAACTCATTGAAGATATTTCACTAGAATCTTTCTAAAATAACAATTTCATGTTTTCCCAAATAATGTACTCCCTATGTAAAAACTAAAATTCCAGACAGTTGTTAAAAGAATAAAGACATAATTCCCACCAAATTAAACGTTTTGTCATTATTTATTTGACTTCAATAAGTTATTTGTTGAAAATATTCCCGTCGCGCCCTTCAATTCTCATTCGCGCTTCTGAAAAATTGGAAAAATGGAAAAAACTGCCGTTAACGCATTCCTTTATGCTGGTCGTTGAATCATAAAACACTGAAACTGCTTACATTTTTTAACTTTGTTTGTAGCAAAACTTAAATGTAAGCTTAAGACTTTAAGACAACAACAGAATGGACTAGAATCCGTTTCATTCACATCAAATACATGCGTCCATCTTGACGAAGTTCTGGCATGTTTAGTCTTTTTTTTTTTTTTGGAATGGAGAATCTTGTTGAAGAATGAAAATAAGATCTGGAACAACATTAGGTAAGAGAACGGTATTAACTTTTGGATTGAACTTTCAGATTCTGTCCAAGAAAGAAAGATTACTTCATCTGTGGCCATTTACATCATAAGAAGTCATGGGAGCAGCAGTAATGTAGTCTTTCGTTTCATGATCTTGGAGTGACTTGAAGTTCAAATATTGGACAAATGAATGGATTAACCACCACGACCAGCCAACAGCTGTGATAATATTCCCAGTTTGATAGACCCTGTAAGGATTGAATCGTATGCAGTTGATTTGAACCCTGCTTGAGATTCTGAACATCAGAATGACGGCGTTTCATCTCTGGGTCATGAACCTGGTTAGAAGAGAAATACTGAACGATTCTGTCAGAGTCACAAGAACGGCGTCCAGCCTACATACTGCATTATCTGCACTAATCATGCACTTCCTCTATAAAATCCAGTTAACTGTGACCACCTACAACATATACACCAGATCAAGAGTCAGATAGATTCATAACAAATTGCACAGTATGCAGTTAACAAAAATGTTCAAATTAAATACACAGGCACGACAGGTCTGTTTATCTCTTTATTAATATTATTTCATAACCTCTGCTATTCTCACGTTAAGATACTGGCACCATCCCTTCTGGGATGAGCTGGAATGTAAGGATTCAATCAAGAAAATACATGTTCAATACACCCACACATACTCATATTTCTAAGTTATAGACAGCCTGGTTTAATGGAGGTCTTGGGGGGTTAAATGAGGCCCTTTCATGACATCAGAACACGCCATTCCACATCCCACATGTACATTAAAGAATTAGTTCACCCAAAAATGAAAATTAGCCTGTGTTTTACTCACCCTTGAAGCATCCTAGGTGTATATGACTTTCTTCGTTCAGATGAATCTAGTCGGAGTTATATAAAAAATTGTCCTGGCTCGTCCAAGTTCAAGTCGGTGGGTGTTGCAGTTGAACGGTCCACAAGTCGTCAAATAAAGAGCGTGCATCCATAATAAACGTGCCTCACACTGCTCCCTGGGGGGGGGGGGGGGGGGGG